CGGGAAGTCGCCGAGGAGCTGCGCCGTCTGCGACGCCGGCTTCGCCGGCTCCGGCGCGTCCTCGAAGTCGTCGTCGCTGTCGTCGTCGTTCGCGGGCTTCTTCTTGGCCGGGCCGTCGGCGAAGTCGTCGTCGCTGTCGTCCGAGTCGGCCGTCGCCGGCTTCTTGGCCGGGCCGTCGGCGAAGTCGTCGTCGCTGTCGTCGGAGTCGGCCGCGGCCGGCGTCGCGCCGGCGGCGCCGTCGCCGGAGGAGTCGTCGGAGTCGTCCGCCGCCGCGGCGCCGTTGGCCGCCTGCGCGCTCTCGGCGCTCGCGGCGCGCTCGCGGCCGAGCGGGCTGAACGGCGACACGTGGCGCGCCTTCGCGTTGCCCTCGAAGACGAAGACGCGCACCGAGCCGTCGGAGCCCGAGTCGGACACGTCGTCGACGTCGTCGTCGTCATCGGAGGAGGACGACGACGAGGAGGACGGCGCCGCGCCGTTGGCCGCGGCGCCGGCCGCGGGAACGAAGAACTCGTCGTCTTCGTCGCTGTCGCTGCTCTGGTCGTCGAGGGCGTCCTGGTGGCGGCGCCAGCGCTCCCACTCCTTGAAGGCCCAGCGCACGTGCCAGCGGTGGCGCTTCCGGCGGAACGAGACCATGGATGATGCGTGCGCGCGGGTCGGCGGGTGGTGTCGAGGCTCGCGCGGGCGCGCGGGCGTACTAGTCCGTCGTCCGACGGCGAGCGAGGCCGAGGCTTAGGAAGTCAATGATGCAGGGCACGTTGCTGCTGCAGAATTGGACGACGACGATGGCAAGTCCGTCTTCGGGCTGCCTGCACCGCTAATGTAAACGACCGCCGCGTAAACAGCAACCCGCGCAAAAAACACGCCGTATGCGGCTGCCGGAGATGGAGCTGCACCACAAGGCGACGCGCGAGGAGCGGCGGCCGCTGCGCCACAGCGGGAGCGCCGACCGCCTCGAGACCGGTGCGGGCCCGCTGCCCCTGGGCCTCATCGGCTGGTTCGGGTCCTACGCCCTCGTCGTCAACAATATCTCGGGCCCGGGCATGCTGGACTTCCCACGAGCCTTCCAGGAGGCGGGCGCCGTGCCCTGCGCGCTCTGCATCGGCGTCGTCGCGTCCGTGTCCGCCGTCGTCGCCGTCTACCTCGCGGACGCGCACCGGTCGCTGCGCCGGGGTTCGGGCGCGCTCGAGTTCAGCGACGTCTTCGGCGAGCTCTTCGGCCGCCGCGTCTTCCTCGCGACGCAGGCGCTCTACTTCCTCAACCTCTTCAGCCAAAACGTCGCGGCGATCGTCGCGACGGCGCGGGCCGGGGCAGGAAATGGGTTATCTTCAACATGAGTGTTCCAGAGAAAGGATCCACGCTTCGAGAGCGCTCCGAGAGATCATCGCCCGTCCAAAAATGAGCCGAAACGAGTGGAACGTGACCGAGAGAGGAGCCTCCAAAGATGCC